ATCGGTTCCAAAACTATATTAAAAACTTCCAAAATTTTAGATTTAAGCAACAGAAAAAGTTTAATATATGTGTCAGCAGTCTTATTTGGTAACAGACAATATAAAAGAGGTATATAGTGCCCATTTTCCAGGCCATGAATGGTAAATAATTGATAAAAATATTTCGTACAAAAAGAAAATGTGCCATCCATATACACCGTGTCCCACGTAAGGCGGGCATTACAACTTTATGGAGAATAAATTAATTTGTATTTTCGCCATTTTCTGAGTATACATAATCGAATATGCTCTTTTGAATTAAAATAAAATGAACTCTGTGCAACTTCGGGTTATACCGGAAGTGACTTCGTTATTTTAAAGGGAATACCCCATATTTTTTTTTAAATTTTAGATTCAGCATGAAATTCTGTAAACAACGATACCCCATTTGCCTATTCTAGTTATAGTGTATTTGGCGTTATTCAATTTTTTTCTACATTTTTAGTCGCCGGTAGACATTTTCTTAAAGTCGTCTATCTCAGGTACTATATCTATCAGATACTTAAAATTTTAACCAGAGGTAGTAGATGGGATGTACTTCTTGAGAATATTTAGTTATTCATTATTTGTTGTACAGGGTGTTTGCAAATTATTTTTAAAAATGAAATTTTTTAAACAAAAAACTTTTTTATTTTAAAGGGAACACCCTATATATTTTTTAAATTTAGGATTCAGCATGAAATTCTGTAAACAATGATACCATATTTGCCTATTCTAATTATAGCGGATTTGGCGTTATTCATTTTTTTTTAATTTTTAGTCGTCGCGCCGGTAGGCATTTTCTTAAAGTCGACTGTCTCAGGTACTATTTCTGTTGGATACTTAAAATTTTAGCCAGAAGTAGTAGATGGGATGTACTTTTAAAAACATTTACAGTTTTCTGCAACAAAATATGTCGTTTAAAAAGTTTAAATTTTTTTAATGATAAGGTACATACTAACTAAAAACAATTTTTATTAAAAGCACATGGTTTAAAAAAATCATTTTATCAAATGTTCAAAATGCCCCCAGTTAGCTTCTAAATATTTTAACAATCTTTTTTCAACATGATTAGTTGTTGCTTTACGAATCATTTCACCATCTAACTCGTTAAAGGCAATCCGAACTCTTTGCTCTAATTCTTCTTTAGTATTAATTTGGGTAGAGTACACTAAATTTTTAATATGACCCCATAAAAAAAATCAACAGGAGTTAGATCTGGCGATCTTGCAGGCCAAAGCCAAGGACCATTTGGACCTATCCATCGGTCTTCAAAGAGTGCTGTAATTTCTTGATTTACATAGTATGTTAAATGTGCTAGGGCACCATCCAACTGGTACCAAAAATTATTATTTGGTAGCTGGTTTAAAATGTCGGCAACTACTTCTCTAAGAATTCTAATGTATCTTTCTGAGGTCAGTCTTTCATTATAAATGTAATAAAAAGCTCTTCCAAAACCGATCACTGCAAACACATTAAAACTAAATTCGTACTGGAATTGTGCTTCACGATAAAAATGTGGATTTTCGTTTGCCCAGAAATGACATTGCTTGCGATTGATGATCCCTTTACGTGTAAATTTCGACTCGTCTGACCACAAAATTTTGTTTAAAATCTCGGGATCTTCTTGAATTCGTACCAATAACCATTCGCATAATTCAGTTCGTCTTATTTGATCACCATCTCGCAACTCATGAACTTTTCTTTGTGCATAGGGATGCCATTTATTTAGTGCTAAAATTCGTTGTATTGACCCTCGACTAATATTTAAATTATCTTGAGCCATTCTAATGGAGGCGTGAGGATACGCAGTAAAATACCCTAATACGTTAATTAGATTAACCTCTTCATCTCGGACATAATGTTGACGGTTTCTTTCCGGGTTTTGTTTAAAATTATTCAAAAAGTTAGCTTCGATTCTATCAAATTTCTGTCTGTTCATTGGTGGTAAATGAGGGTATCTTTCATTAAACATGCGGCAGGTTCTACTTTTGATTCGATTACATTCTCCATGAATGTAAAATAAATTAAGAATATCTTGGTTGGTATATTCTTCAATATTTTCCATATTTTCCATATTTTGAACGCAAAAAATACACAACTTAAATACATAGAAATATGACAATTCAGTTTGTTGACAGATTGTTGTTTAGCATATTTCCACGGCATACTATAAAGATAAAAAATTAAAATGTAAAACTATACTATATTATGTAGGTGCATGCGTAAAATTTAAATTTAAATTTTCTTAAAATTGGCGAGAGATAATTATAGGGAATTAATAGTGCAAATGAGGATCAATGAAGAATAATTTTCTGAACAAAATGAAATAAAAATATACAGGATTTTCCATTTAAAATAAAAACATTTTTCATGTTTAAAATATTTATTTTTTAAAATAATTTCCAAACACACAGTCGAACAAACGATCTACAAGTAAATTTAAAAAAGCAAATGCCTGCCGGCATATAAAAGTTTATAAAAAACTGAATAACGCCAAATACACTATAATTAGAATAGGCGAATGGGGTATCATTGTTTACAGAATTTCATGCTGAATCTAAAATTTAAAAAATATATAGGGTGTTCAATTTAAAATAAAAAAGTTTTTTATGTTTAAAAAATTTCATTTTTAAAAATAATTTGCAAACACCCCGTACAACAAATAATGAACAACTAAATATTCTCAAGAAGTACATCCCATCTACTACCTCTGGTTAAAATTTTAAGTATCTGATAGATATAGTACCTGAGATAGACGACTTTAAGAAAATGTCTACCGGCGACTAAAAATGTAGAAAAAAATTGAATAACGCCAAATACACTATAACTAGAATAGGCAAATGGGGTATCGTTGTTTACAGAATTTCATGCTGAATCTAAAATTAAAAAAAAATATGGGGTATTCCCTTTAAAATAACGAAGTTAGTGGTCACTTCCGGTATAACCGGAAGTTGCACAGAGTTCATTTTATTTTAATTCAAAAGAGCATATTCGATTATGTATACTCAGAAAATGGCGAAAATACAAATTAATTTATTCTCCATAAAGTTGTAATGCCCGCCTTACGTGGGACACGGTGTATATAACATTCATTTTACACAACGTAGTAATATTTGTTTGGCAAGAAAAAACAATGATATTATCAACTGAACTGTTAATAAACAAAAAATGTTCACCTGTTGTCGTTTTAGGAGAATACATATCAACTACAGTATGTACTTCATGAATATCTTTAGGCAGGGCTGGCAAGAGCTGACGACGACTGTTATACACATTTCTTATGAGATTTACATCCGCGGTAATCAATTCGTGCTGTAAATTTGTTGAAAGGACCCTTTTTATAATTTTCGAAGGTCTCTCCGATATGTCCTCCTGGGCTTTTCGCTTGCATGCATTTGTGACAATTTTTCTCTGCAAAGAACGTTGATCTGGTTCATGATTGTGAGTTAACTCACTCCTGGTCACAATATATTCGACACCAACAGTATACAATTTAGCTAAACATTTTAAATTTTTCCTGATGCACCTCCAACGCACTTCCCCACTCTTTAATACGTCTTGTTTACAAAATGAAAATTTTTCTACAATAAGCAAGTCACAACCGCGTGAACTCTACTATCGAAACTGCCATCATGTAATATAGATGTTTTCTATCTCTTGGTCGCCCACAAAATAAGTGGTTAGTATCTTAATATTAAAAGGTCCGGTACTTTGTAATTAGGTAATCACATTGTTAAACTAATGAAAATCAAATTAAGAAATGCTTTAACTTTTCTAAGAAATGGAAATATGAAAAGGGTAGATTATTATTTTCAGGTATATTCCAAAATCCTATCATAAACATTACCCTCGGCCGAAATTACCTATGCCATTAGATGGGCACTTTGCTTTTGGCAGGTAGGCGAGGGGATTACCGGCCGAAATTACGCCCGCCGAAATAGCGTGCGTTTTAATAGTGAGTTATTATAAATCACGCTGGGCTCCCACGATAATTCGGTATGTAAATAGTGTGCGCAGTAATTTCTTGGAAATTTTAAAACCAATAAATACGTTCCATTGGCGTAAAATGTTAAAAAAACAACTGGAAAGGAATGAGTAATTAACAGATTTTAAAATTATTAAATTGCCAACGCCTCTCAGTAGGTGGAACAGTCAATTATTATCATTGAGGGGAGTAATGTCATTTGATATTTTAACAAGATTATTTTGACGTTTTCAAATCAATTTCTAATAATAGTGCTAAAAAAGATGAATTTAGATAGTGAAGATGAGTTATTATGTACACCTCCAGAAATAAGAGAAGCATCTAATAATGCAATACAGAATTTATTACCAGAAAAATCAAAAAAATAAGTATAAATGTTTATACAAAAAGACTGGTGTAGCAATAAGAACGTTAACTCGTTTACAGAAAATGTACTTTTAGTATTTATTGTTATAGTCGTAGATAAAGTATAGTATTCAACTTATTATTATTACCGTTCGTTAAATAATATACTATTATTTAATAATTATTATGCTACGTTTATTTATCCACATATCCGAGGTGTAAATATTTGATTGCGTGAATGAAAATTAGATTGACAATGACCAGTTTGACAATGACAATTTTAAGAATGACAAGTTTGACAATTATAAGTTTGACAATGATAAGTTTGATCCTAAGGTTTGATCCAATATATTAACACATGGATAAACACAAATTCAGATGCAACATATAATATCTGGTATAATATTTGGTATAATATGGTTCAAATGAAAGAAATAAATTCATTATAATGGAAGCATTTGGTTTTTCGGTAAAATGCTTAATTTTGTTTACTAAAAACGCAATTTTTCAAGTTTCCCCTACTTACCATTTTTGGAAAGTGACGTCATTGACAATTTTTTATATAGTAACCCCAATTTTTTTTCTAAGTTTTTCTAAATTTTCTACTCGAAAACATAATTAATATTTGAAATAATTTGACAGAACTTACGTCTGAGTATTGAGCTTGGGTATCTTTTGGATCTTTGTATTCATTGTAATACTTTCCCACTGCAATTTTAACTTCTTCTGAGGGTACTACATCGCCAACATCTTCATAGGTCACACAGTGAGCAGCTAAAATTAAAATGCAGTCATGATTTATTTTATATTTATATTTTATAGTTTGTTGAACTGGTTAAAATTAGTAATTTCCTTATAATTTGCATAATTTTATTAACCGACTTCAAAAAAAGGAGGAGGTTTTCAATTCGTCGGAATATATATTATGTTATGTATGTTCAACGATAATTCTTTACCGATTTCTAGGATTATCTTTTTGATAAAAAGGGGGTACTTTAGGGTTGGTCCCAGTGACGGCTGATGGATAAGTGCTGCAGTGCTGCAGAGATCCCAAAAAAAAATGGTAAATACATAATCTAATTCAAATATTTCCTATTACCAAAAAGAAAATGTATAATATTATATTCGCATTGTAATAATGATTCAAAACTGTTGGCGGAGCGCCAGCATCAAAGGCGTGTACGTGTACGTAAAGTCGACCAGTGGAATAACCTATCTACCTACCGACACACTCGCTTGCCCAGGCTGTCGCTGAACTATTATTTATCTGAGCTTCATGATAAAGCTCTGTGCGCTCTTTCAAACACCCGCGTGGCACTCCGCTACCCCCGCGTCCACGGTTAAAACAAACCGGTGATTTAAGGACAGCGTCTCCTAGGAATTTCTGAACAAAATTATGTCAATTTAGATTCAATCAAGGAGGTGCTGTTACCTACCGACTAGAGATTGAATTAGTGCAAACTATTACAGAAATCTTTAAGTAACTATAAATATCGACCGACTAGCTATTAGGGGATATTGTATTATATTGTATTATAAACCGGTTTTTAGTAGAGTTCGAAGGATCATAATAATAGTCCTGAACATAAAATCTATTTTTCAATAATTGCCAGGATTTTACCAAATTAAAAAAAAAATATTTCGCGATTGTGAAAATATGCCATTTATAATATTATAAAAATGTTAACTCTAGGACTCATTTTGGAGTATGAGCATACTTTATTTCAATACTTTTATTCATAAAGTATTACCTACCTATTACATTTTATTTTTAACGAAAATCGACTTTGTTTCCTGGACCAAAGTAAAGAATGTAGGTAGGTATTATGCAGATGGCAACAACAAAAACGATATCTTGCCTCACATTAAATATAAATATTTCCTAAAACAAATAATTTGGTTTATATACGGGTAGCAATACGAGGGATGTTTATAATTTCAAGTCACGAATATAGAGTCGTTTCAAAATATATTGCCACAATAATTGCGTCACATTGAGTCGGAGTGGGACGCTTGACGTGTCGCAATTCGCAATATATTTTAAAACTATTCTACCTAATTAATAAATTGTGATTTTGAAGTATCGAATGAAAACTATATTCTCATTGGTTAAAGATGGAAGTTTTTGTCATTTGAATGTTCAAGAATATTAATTGTGATTAATTGGTTAAATACCGAAGTTATCTGTTATCTGATGTTGCTACTAACCTAATGTTTTTGGGTAATTTTGACGGTCATTTCCTGGAATTTCCAGGCCCGCATAAATATTTATCCTATTAAAGTACAAAAACCCTACAATAGATATTATGAGTAGGTATTTAACATTCATTTATCTTATCTTATCTTAGGTAGTTATTTCCTAGAAACATTTCCCTGATTGTTAATAACACATTACCGTATATCTGTGCCAATATGACGTCACGACTTTTAATATACTTAATGAAGGCTGGGGGAAGGAGTTAAGAGTCTACAAATTTACAAACAAGCTTACGGGTATTTAGTTTTCAAAATTACATCACACGTTTCTGAAGTGTTTTATTGTGCTGTTTGTTTTTAATAAGTGTTATTTTCTTTAATAGAAAATTGATTTATTTGTGCCAAGTGTCCTAGTGAGTTTCATTGTACATTTTAATCAGTTTTATTTTTGGATAAATTGACATCGACTTCCTGCATTAAAGGTAGGTAGTATTTTTTTTTCTATCACTCTCGAGTTCGTCATTGAATAAAAAAATTAAACGCTATAATTTTAACATTCAAATATTTGCAATTAAAAAATAATATTACGTATTAAATTTGACAATAAAAAAACTTGTTATTTAATAATAATGTTTCATTATTCTGAATATATTTTTTCTACGATCAATATCCAAAGTAGGTAGGCTTTTGCACATTAAAATCTAAATAAAAAGTTGACGTTTTCTGCGAATTGTCATAATTTGACATTATTGGCGCACATTACCTAATATTCAAACCCATTTCCATGCTTAAAAATAGAAGATGGTGACATTCATTTAAAAGAAAACCATAACTACTTTTACCAGGTGAAAAATTTCAATATGTTAAAATAATTCATGATTTTTAAGAAATGTGCTAGAAATGATACTACAATATTAATATTCTTTTTATGTTTGATTTTCTAATAATGATTTTATATACTTTTAGATTCAAGGACAGCTAGGTATAGCTCAAAGAAAATTGTGCTACTTTGTAGTATATACTGGAGATGAAAATCCACTATTTGTTGAAAAAATTCATTTTCAACCCATTTTTTTTTAAAATATGGTTGAAAAATTAGAAAAATTTTACTCGGAATATATGGCACCTGAGATAATTTTAAATAAAAGAGGACGAGGATTAAAATGTCTGAATACCCCATATAATGAAACTTAAAGTGCAAAGATTAGCAAATTTATAAAAATTATAATTTAATGGACTTTAATGATACAAGTACTTGAAATAATGTTTTTTTTGCGCAGAAGCATGTTCATACGTAATTTGCAATTGGTAATCACTAAACACAGATGGAAAAGTATATACGTCAACGATATGTTCTCTTATTTTTGATTTATTTTAAAAGGTATAATATATGGTATGTTACTTATAGTATAGATTTTTTTATTTCTCGACCTAATTTATTTGTTACGTCTTCAGCAATTGTCGCTTTCAGTTGACATAAACGAAATTGATAAAAAGTGTTTTTCGCATTTTATTTTGACTGTTTCTCTTACTTTCGAATAGAAACTGAGCTTTGTAAACATAAAATGACGGATATGTCAAACTAAAACTGACGGTAAAATGAAACATTGAGTATCGTTAAATGCAACTTTTGAACTAGTTTCAAAAATAGCATTAAAATGATATTATCATTCACAATGTACTAATTTCCTATACTTTTAGTTGATAAATAACCGATAATCATACATCATATAGCAAATAGGCGCGTGTCAAAAGGTCAGAAAAAAGAGTGCCGATGAAAAAAGGTCGTTTCCAATTGTATCATATAAACAGTATCAGAGGCAGTATTATCATCTCGTATATCCCCCGTAAACACACTTAATATAAACGGAAATAATCAAATACTAGTCAAAATATTATCGATCGGAGCACCATCTTTATTACATTACATGAAGTAATTATTGATTTTTCGGGGTTTATTTAGAGTTAAATTAGACGCCATTTTTGGTCCAAATTCGTTTTGACATGTTTTTTCAAAGAAAGTGACTTATAAATTTCAAATCTACACGTTTTGAAAAATATACAATATTTAAATATTCTGAGTGTACCAAATTCCAAGTAAAGGTTGAACTTAGGTCGTATTACATTTTTTTTATTATTATTTGTTTGACATCGAGGTTAAAATAATTCTAGACGGCACCTTTGAGATGAAATAAAAGGGGGTTATTTTACATGATTGGTTTTTATTGAAAATAATAAATTTATTAATTTTCAATAGTAAGGTGACCTAAGTTAGACCTTTATTTTTTTTTAAATACTTCTTGTTCCCCTCTATTCATTTTTTAAACATTAATACCCAGACCGAAGTGAAGCTGTTATTCTCACCTTTCCATTTCTAACAATTGATCCCCGTATGTCAGCGTGGTTCTTAACTGTTTGTTAGAATTATCTCCCCCATTTTTACGCTCTCCGCCTGAGATTCATGATATTCCAGCATAACCTAACCACGTGTACCCACGCGCCACGCGCTCACCTTAATCGTCTGCTTCTGTTGGTATGCAATCTCTGTTGTTTTTAGAGTCGTTTTCGGTTGTTATATATTTCTTTCGTATATTTAAAGAAAGTTCACGATTCTGGATTCGAGTAGTACAATAATAAACAATGATTACTTTTATTTTCTATATTTAACACAAATGAGTTAATCGTCTGCTTTTGTTGGTATATAATCTCTGTTGTTTTTGGAGTCGTTATTGGGGTTTATGATTGACAATTTTTAACAGGTTTGTTATTTTATAAACAACCTGTTCACAAATAACGTGTCTGTTAAAAATAACATTACTTGTCCATCATAACCCCGATTGTCAGAAAATTCACAATTCTGGGTTCGAATAGTACAATAATAAACAATGATTACTTTTCTTTTCTATATTAAACACAAATGAGTTAAAGTGGAATATATATCGAAGATTTGGGGTTGAGGTAAGTCTTTTGTTGCTATCTATCATATAATTATTTTTACTGATGTTATTCTTTTTTCTTTTAGGTTAAAACAAACATAAAATAGAAAGCCCTTTAGATACAGAGCTTTTAGCGGCACTTCTAGAAGATTTGCTTTACAAAGTGAGTGTAAATTACCGGAAAAATTAATGAAATTAAGTCTAAAAGGCAATTGATTATTTTAAATAAATTATATCATAGAGTTTTAATTTTACACTTTTCTATTAAATTTTGCAACGCAAATTACACAGAACATTCGGCAATATACATGAGATACCCCAAGCGATACTTTACGGAAAAAATCCCGTAGAATCCGCCAATAATTGTCGAAAGATCGATTGGTGCCCGGATTTCCATTCATAGGCCCCATAATTTAGTGAACAGAGGTATGCCGCTGGCGCCATCTACAATTGGTTTCCAAAGTCCAAAACATGAAAATCAATGTATTCCCAACTCCCTCGAGCGGAAATTCAGTGAGAAACTAACATTTCTATTCAGTGCAAAAATGTCTAATTTGTATATTTTGGCAGATATTAGCGGAAAACCATTTTTTTGAACTTTAGGGGCCATTTTGAGCCCTTTCCGACCCAGCAATGTTGGTA